GAGGGATGCCTTTGATAACCACCCTGTACGGCTTGGAATCGTTGTGTTTAATCAGGTTAAATGGAAATTTATTTTCTTTTAAAAAGCTTTGTAAATTGAGGTCATCTTGGTACGTTGAAGTCTGACATGTTATGCCAGCTTTCATTCTCTAGGTTATGTAGTCTATAGGCTGGAAGTTTGAGTGAAAATCTTTGTTAAGTTTGGTCATGTCATCTTGGAAGTGGTGGTGGATGACGACCGGCTGAATTTTCTCCCTGGGTGGGGTTAGGAATTTGTTCTTCTTGTGCTCTGAGCTACCAGAAATACGACTCTCAGGAGTGGCAGAGGATGGTAAAGCTGTATTAATGGCGGTTTCTATCGTTTCTATTATGGTTGGGTTTACCTTTGTTTTATTTCGACTCTTTTTGGGTGTTCAGAAGAGGCTCTTGCAGATAAAGCAGGTTTCTGTGCACCTTGCCTCACAGCTTTAGTTCCTTCCACCTTGGGAACAGTGTACATCTGCAGCTACTGTAAGGCTGTGATTGCCAGAAGAGCATATCACGGGCGAGGCTGACTTGGGTCTGCTTGGTTCGGACTGTTTAAGATTTTCCTTAATTGGAGGGGTTTTATTTTCCGGCCATACAGATGCCATTTCTGAATCTGAATACTCAGATGAAGGGCTATCGGACTCCACGCTCACTGGGGACCGGAGCGCGTGTTTAGGCTTTATGGTTAATATTGTTGATCTTTCGAATGGTTTTTTTTTTCGGATTTATTTCTATATACTTTCTTGGGTTTCTTTAAGTTTGTATTTACAGCTAAGGGTCCTCGGACGTCCATAACCCTCTAAACGCCTTGGGGGTCCAATCTAATGGCCTTAGACTTCACCATGCTGGCAGCTACGGTTTACTCACCAACACCGAGCGTACCAGGGAAGTGATAATACTGGCACTGATATTTGGAACGGAGTATAACGTAAAAGGAACTGAACCAGGGACTGTTGCATCATCCGATGATAGCAGTAACCTCCGACAAGCAGGCGGGCCGAAGCCCACCTGAACTTAGTCCTAGAAGCTAGTGCCGATCCACCGATGTGGAATGTAAAGATTACAAAGGATCCTCAGCGTATGTTGGCACCGTTTGGTTTCAACTGAGGCACTAGCGCCGGGAACACACGGCGTAAGCTGGAATCCTCTTCTTTGCTTCTCTTTGTCTTCAACGTACGGTGCTGGTTTTTCAGTCCCGTAAGCTCTACGATGTCTTCGGGCTCCCGTGCTGGGCCAAGAGAGTAGGCCTGGCTTGGGTATACGCCCTTCCTGCCCGAATCCTCTCCGACAACTAACGGAACACACAAATACATTGTCGGCAGAATGCAGAGTTCAGTTCGTACCTCAGGAAACACACTGCGTCTCCGCTACAAAGCCCAACCGGTTAATGATGTTTAGGGAAACAATCGCTGTTTATTGTGAGCACCATACGGAAATCACAAATACACTGTGTGGGCAGAATGCAGAGTTCAGTTCGTTCTTCAGGAAACACATTACGTCTCCGCTACAAAGCCCAACCGGTTAATGATGTTTAGGGAAACAATCGCTGTTTATTGTGAGAACCATACGGAACACATAAATACACTGTGTGGGCAGAATGCAGAGTTCAGTTCGTACCTCACAGGAAACACATTACGTCTCCGCTACAGAGCCCAACCGGTTAATGATGTTTAGGGAAACAATCGCTGTTTATTGTGAGAACCATACGGAACACATTAATACACTTTATGGGCAGAATGCAGTGTTTGAGTATTTCTTACGATTCTCACGACGAATACCTATAATTTCTGTTAACCGGTTGATCTTTGTATGGGACACCCATTGTGTTCTCTGTGATGTCAGAACCGAAGGGATATAATTAGTGCTTAAAAGTTAAACTATTCTTTTTTTATGTTGTCTTTTTCATATATACTTCTGCCTTGCACGTACATACTACCTTCATCTCTATGTTAGAAGTGAAGATGGAGGCATATAACCTCCGAAACGTTATTAATCACTTATCCTACTCGGTGTCACGACCACCGAGTTTATTCTTTCTTCTGGTATCCGCACATGTGGCGCAGAATTTCTGACGAGACTCTGATGATAACTTCCATGGTGTTACTATACGTAATTCCAATAACGCGAGGCAGTGCGCGGAGTTCTTTTAACTGCCCCTTTTTGTTTCCAGAAACGCCAAGTTGAATGTGAGCCGGAGAAGTGTCCAGGGAACCAGGGATGTTACAGGCTCCTCAACGAGAGTAAAGACGGGTGTTGTCGGGTCTGCAAAGGTAAGCACAAACACTGCCAACCTTCTTCACGCAGAACACTCCATCTTGAGAAGCTACTAGTGGATGAGCGCCTCGAAACATTCCAGCATGTTACTTAACCCGAAGATTTCACAGGAGCCCTCCATTTGAGGCCAAATCCGTGCCACAACCCTCCCATCCCATATTTTTTAGATCCGTTTTAATATTATCCCTTTATGCCTACTCTTCCTTGTAGTCTGTTACCACTGCTCTGTATGCACTTCTCTTGCATGCGTGCTACATGCCCTATCTGTCTCATCGCCCTAGATTTCATCATAATAATAATATTTGGCGATGAAGCTGCTTATACAGATTTCACCATCTCCTAAAAACGGGCCTTAAGTCGAGGTCACTGTAACATGGGCCGTATAGGGTTACGTTCCTGGAGCTCGAAGCAGAGACAAATTTTTCAGTATTTTAACTCCTAGTATGTTATAATTCAATTCTTTTATTGTAAAATCAGCAAATGTACAGCAAAGATGTAGACTATTATTATTAGAAAATGAGGTATTGTAATATTGTAGCATGACGCCTGAAGGCCGGAATAGTGAAGCCAGACCAGATGTCCTTTGCTAGGCATGGGCTCGGTGAAGAGTCCCGTGGAAATGAACTCGCACGCAGCACTAGAACTGCCGTTTCTATGCTTTGCGCAGTTGAGCTCTGCAAGGGAGGTTAAGACCAGGCAGTGGAAAATAATTGAGAGAGTCCCTTGAGATGGCAGATAATTGAGAAGAAACGGCAACGAGATAGTTGTCAGTTGTCAATTGACAAGTGAATTGACAAGCATTCTGTACGGGCCGCTGTGACAAGAGGACTTGAGCGCGGGAAGTTTAAAAGACTCTCCACTGTTACAAGCCGTTGCCAGAGAACGGTTGGTTAAGACACAGCAGGCTGGAACAGGCTCAGCGGGTGTTGTGATGAACTGTGAACTCTGGAGATCGGCAGTGGCTCTGTCAGTGTAATTCATAGTGGTGTCAATAAATACAGTTATCTAATCGATACCCCTCTATAGTCACACACCCCTAAGACGTGACAGTATTTTTCCACGGATCATTATGATTTACAGTTTGAGTGATCAGAGTCATGTAACATGACTGAAGCCAGAAATTTGTATTTGGAGCCGTAAGCCCAGAAATTTCGAAGTACAAGTCTGATACGTGTTAAATTTAATGGGACCGTAAGTCGACAAGTTGCAGGCCAAAGGTGTGGCTATACTACGGTATTTTCACTTCTGGTTAGATGCAGGCGATGGTTAGCAATACATATGCTAGTGCTCAGAGCAGTACTGGCGAAATCTGGCGCAGTTTATGGCTGGAAACCTCCAGACCGCAGAGATAAAGAAGTTGTAGTTACATCTGGATGTAGTTCGCAGCGCACCTGGCGGCAGTTTAACTTAACTTAGAAACATTCAGTTTATGCCAATCTATGTCTTGTTCGTATTTACGATTACGGGTGTGTGATGCCAGAATCGTAAGGAGCGGCGTTTTTGATGTACTCTCTCTCCACTGACATGCATGAAGACACAGAGGACGCTGATTCTATTGGAACCTTGTACGCGGTTTCAGGACTGAAATACCAGAAAGTGCCCACAGCTGTAAACGTGTTACTTAAATACTGTCACATGTATTAGTGACTAGAACGCGGGTCTGGATTGGCAATCTATTTAATGGATAACTACCAGTCGTAGCCACAAAGAATTACAACACTCTAAATTATTACTGGAACAATAACACATAAAGTAAAGTCTTCACGCTTCAATTTTGATCTTCCTTTGTAGCCTCCGGGACTCTGCTGTTGGATTCTGTCAGTCAGTCCGTTATCTTCGCTACACTTATATAATCTTCTCTTGAACCGTGTAGAAGTGACAACTGCACTGCACTCGGCACTAGTCTCTCAACTGCTTTGAACTGTCCTCTCAACGCAACTGCTGAACTGCTGAAACTTCTGGTGTTCAAAAAGTCAAAGTCACGTTGCGACTGACTGTCAGTCAGTCAGTCTTGGTGTCGAGCCCAATTTGGGGCTTATGACCAGATATTTATTACTGCTCGACAGTTACACTTTTCTTATTGTGGGGCGCCCTCTGTGACGAGATGATGGGTCTGTCTTTTGTTAGAGTCATTGTCTGCAGTAGTAAGTCACATGTCATAATGTAAAGGATGTTTATATTTTACATGTTAAACTGTTAATAAATGTATATAAACTATATACAGGGCCTTTGTCAGTCCAGCAGATAAATGTATATAAAATGGGACCTCTGTCAGTCCAGCAGATTATGCCCTATTTCTAGTAACTTCCGCTACAACGGCAGTCTAGTCACTTGAACGGTCGTATGCCTGACCGCCGCCAAATTTAAGCCTCTTATACTTTTTATGTCGGGCTTCTCCTTGCCCAGTATTGCGAACATTTTCGTTATCATGATTTTGTATGACTTCTGCTTGTTGCCTGCATAATTTTGTTATATAATCATATACGTACTGCTGGTGTTAAGTCAAAGTCACATTGCGACTGACGGTCTGTCAGTCAGTAAGTCTTGGTGTCGAGCCCCATTTGGAGCTCATGACTATATATTTATTACTGTTTGGCATTTACGGTCTTGTTATTGTGGGGCGCCCACTCTGACGAGAGGACGGGTCTGCCTTTTGTACTCGTATATGCTGCTGGCCCTTGCCAGTGCAGTGTTTTACGGGTCTGAGTCTCTTGGAACTCGCGACCATATTTTACTGTCTCAGATTTGGGACTTTTCGTCGCCTCCTACGACTCGCAGGGTCACGGTGGAGGTAATCGACCATTCTCTAAACCTAGTTATATGGCCTCCGCACGGACAACATAGAAGACAAGGCCTTATTGTTAACGAAGCTTGTTTACTGCTCGATGACTAGCAATTGAAAGCCCTACATATATTATTGGCCAAGAATTTGTCTTCGCTGGAACTTGTTTACCTAGCTGTTCCCTAGCAACGGATATACATGTTACAATATCTATAAGACCTACAAATGTTCATATAGATACGTGCATCTATAGCGTGCTCTCCGTTAAACTGTTATACCGTGTCTTCTGCGTATTAAAAATAACTTATTAATCGAGTGTCGCAGATGATTTTGTCATCTTTGTTAATCTTGTTGGATATGAGGTTATATAGTGCGGTAGCAGTTCGCGGACGTTTCGGAGGATTACACGTATACTGTCTTGCTTGTCTGACTCTTAGGTCCTGAACATCGAGGAAGTATGTGCCTCCAAAATGTCGATGCACTTGTGCAAAACTGCACGGCGTCACATCCCAGAAGACTGTGCCCTTCATAGTCACTGCTGTGAGATACAGCGTGTTTGTTCCTATTCTCTGTGCCGTGAATCAGTTTCCGTCAAACCTGAATCTGAAACAACAGCTGCAAACTTAAAAGAAAAACCATTTTCTTAGACTTGTTAGAGCGCATCTCCGTCATAACTGAGCAACCGACTAACAAAACGGAGATCAGTCGTTTTGGGGAAGCTACTGGTTGTTTAGCCGCGCAAGGACTTCAGAGCATTTTATAGAACCCGGAGGTTCACAAGAGCCCGCTATGGTCCCTGTCCTGAGCCAGATAAATCAGTTCCTCACCTGGCGTCCTGTGTACTTAAGATCCATTTAAATACCCTCCCATTTACGTCCAGCAGTGCAGTCGGTATACCGATAGGCTACGGGCAGGACGACCGAGGGGTCGGAGCTCGAGTCCCGGTAGGGTCAAGAATTTTCTCTTCTCGACAGTGTCCAGGCCCGCTCTGGGGCCCGCCCAGTCTCCTATCCAATGGGTGCCGGAGGGCCTTTCCACGGAGGTAAAGCGGCCGGAGCATGAAGCTGACTACTCACCTCAAACTAGTGCCGAGGTCAAGGAAAATGGATCTCTAAATCCACTCCCCCACACGTGTTCATGGCGTAGTGCTTAACAACCTTGTACCCTGACGAGGCACCATATTATCGCATCCTTGCTCGTTAAGTTGGGTGGGTCAGGTCTGACGCAACACTTGGCTGGTTACGACGGTTGTTGTTTGTGTGCAGGGTGTATCTACGAAGGAGTTCATCACCCCAGCGGCTCGGAGTGGAGCGACCCGAGCCGGCCATGCACCGTGATGACGTGCAAGGCAGGAGTGGTCACCGAGTCAGAGATACAGTGTTACACCCCCTGCAGGAACCCACAGCCCCCAGCCCCAGGACAGTGCTGCCCCACGTGCCCCGGTGAGTATCGCTTGCCGTTCGTCTGTAGCAGCTCAAACTGTACAGTGAATAATTATTTGCAAGGGATGTGGAAGGAAGCGGTTGTGGCACAATTTCATGTATTTTAGGCACTCTCCTCCACTCCTTACCCTGCAGTTTGGGGGGACGGCCGCTGCATTTGTCCCGGGTTCCGTCGTTGTGTTCTCAGTCCTCCCCAGAAGGAATGAGGTACCCAGGCTTTAGTAAGAAAATACAGTGAATGTCCAAAATAAACATTTAACAACAGTTAATAACAATGACACCAGTAAAAAATAAATAAGACTTAAACCATTACACATTAGTACTTCAAATATGCGTACGATTCTACGCCCTGGACCACCTTGGTCGGTCTAGACTGAAACCCAGCAAAGGAAAAGTATACATAAGGTAGCCACACTGAGCCGTCTGTTGACCCCCGACCTAGAAAATTACCACACTCACGTAACATTTCGAGACAACCCAATTCGCAACGTTACTCCGTTATCTAGTCTTACAGCAGCACTAAATGGGACACCAATAATAATATAACACCAAACAAAACTCTCGTTACAACATACCCAAATGAAAAAAAAAAAAACTTACATACCGTTGCAACGAGGAGGCCCGTTGTCCTCAACGGCCAGAGCGAAGCGTCCTGACACAATTAGGAACCTGCTTCGCCCAACCGCTGGAAAGCAAACTCTGCTCCCATAAATCACCCCACAACGACGGAGGTCTTCCTGTCTATAGGACTAGAGGAAGGGTAAATCACCTGGTACATGGAACTGTGGGATAATGCTGGAAAAGTGACGACACGGTTGCGGGGGGGGGGCATGAAGGCGGGGAGGTTACCGAACCGAAACAGGCAACTCCTGAGCCTGAGGAACTGAGTAAAACTACAAAGGACCTCGGTTAATACAGTCGGTGTGCCGGCAGAGATTCGAACCCAGCACCTCCCGCATACAAATCAGAAATATTACCGCCTGACCCGGCCAGCTCTGTATAGCACTTTCATCTTTAATGGTTTTGTTGTTATGAACTCTCGCACCAGTGCTTACCAGGAAATTGGTGTGAGATTTGAGGTTCTTCAAGGTTACTGTCTTGTGGGACGAAACATAAGTAGTAGCGTTTCGGAGTAATCTGCGGCCTCGATCTTCAGAGTAGAGGAAGGAGACAAAGCGTTACTTCAGATTGTGAGTAACGGTATACCAGACTACACGGCATCACTTCCCAGAAGACAGTAGCTGTCTTCATAGTCACCACCGTGAGGTCTTTAGCTAATTCAAGAATGATATTTGGTGATTCAGGGTATCATCTTTTTATCACCCTGAATTCTGTGCCCACATACAGTGCTCAAGAGTATAAAGAAGCTAAAGGGAAACAAGACTCTTGGAAGACCTAGGCGCAGACGGAAGATAATGAAATGGGTCGCAAAGAAATCGGACATGAGGCTGTGGGCTGGATACAGCTGGTTCTGGTAAGGTCAGTTTTCAGGCTTTTGTGAACATGGTGATAAACCTCCGGGATTCGTAAAAGGGCTAGATATTTCTTGACTAGGCAAGCGACTGTCAGCTTGTCAGTACTTTGATACATGGGTTTGGTTGATTAGTATTCTGGTTAAATAGTAAGATTTTATTCTTGGCGCCCATCTTCAGCGTGACTCGCCGAATATTTATCGGGGAGAAAAATATTTCGAACAGAAGTTTCAGAGAAGAACGCAACAACCCTCGTCCTATGTCTTGCGCACTTTTCTTGAGATCATCACACGAACGTGAGCAAACGCGCTTGGATTGTTACACTCTGTGTACTTTTCCTAACTTGTTTATTCTCGTGTATCGAAATTGTCATTCTACGGTTTGAGCTCCAGGGAATCATCTGATTTATTGAAAGCCGAAGCCATGAGTAACTGCTTTAGAAAACTCGATGACATATTCTTATGAATGAGAGAGATTAGGATGTAGCAAATCTGCCCATGCTAAAAAAGTAGAAAGGTAAAACTATCCCTGTAACACGCTGTGGAGGCCCATAGTGTTGTGAGACGTCGAGGCTCCCACATTTTCTAGAAAATCGACTCACAGATGGCGGTGAGTTCAAGTAAAGCTATCCCTGTAACCGGCTGTGGAGGCCTATAGTGTTGTGAGATCTCGAGGCTCCCACATTTTCTAGAAAATCGACTCACAGATGGCGGTGAGGTTATTTTTTTATTGCTAGTTGGGTGGGACTACTTTTTTTTACTGCTAGAAAATCGACTCACAGGTGACGGTGAGGTTAAGTAAAGCTATCCTTGTAACACGCTGTGGAGGCCCATAGTGTTGTGAGATGTCGAGGCTCCCACATTTTCTAGAAAATCGACTCACAGATGGCGGTGAGGTTATTTTTTTATTGCTAGTTGGGTGGGACTACTTTTTTTTTACTGCTAGTGAGGTGGGACTAAGTCCCTTGTACTGCGGCCACTTCTGGCCTATTCTACCAGCCCCAGATTATAGGCGCTCATTTATGTTAGATGCTGATTTGACCCCAGGTACATTGTGCGGCTTGAAGATGTAGGTGAAATTGAAAAATCCAATGACCTCATCGGGAATCGAACCCGCGATCTTCCGGCTTGTAGCATAGTGCCTAAAGCAACTACGCTACCGCATGCCACCAGTCTGACCACGTGAAAGCATTGCATGGAGACAGCTATCCTGAGAAATGTGGAATGCTGTATTTGTGTTGTTCGCTTGCAGCAAACATCGCGACAGGACTGTCTGCCGGCCAGCCGGACAACCTAAAAACACAGACACACAGATTCCATGACTGGGCCCACTGACAAGGAATTCGTTTCATTGCCGTCGATTCGTACGCACGTGGCATTTGGGTGCACATTTTAATCATCTCAAGTCCCGAAACTCGTCTTATCATTCCTTTTTTATAAACCTGACATTTATCGCAGTCATATCGCGCTTTTAGGTTACCATAATAACGAATTGTCGTGCGTTAACTCGCTGCTTGAACGTATATGTGACGAACGAGTGAGCAGTATTCTGTTTCAGTGTATCGTGTCTGTTCTGTGAGTACTGGTAATATGTGGATACCTGAAGTGTGGTGTGGTATACACTCGAGGCGGCTTACGGTTATTTGTAACCTCGGCCTCAACCTACGAATCGATAAAATGTACGATTTGAAACGAATACGGGAGAAAGCAGGGGAAGTTAATACGTAGTAAAAGAAGGTAAAGCTATCCCTGTAACAGGCCGTGGAGGTCCATAGAGTTGTGAGACGTCGAGGCTCCCACATTTTCTCTACACAATCGGCTCACAGATGGCGATGAGGTTGTCAGTCTTACGCGCCGGCCGCCCTTTACCCCCATGAAGATTTCTGGTACCCATTTCTGTTAGAGGCTGAGTCGACCCCAGGGAAAGTGCGGCTGGACGGATTAGGTCAATTGAAACATCCAATGACATCATTGGGAATCGAACCCGCGACCTTCCGGCTTGTAGTACAGTGCCTCAACGAAGTACGCAAGCTTATATAACAGCGGGTGTTGCACTAGGTAATGTTCAATAAACATTAAGTTCATACATCACAGAGACTACATTGGATTTCTGTTAGACTTTTGAGGCTGTCACAGTGGTTATTGACGAGTGCTGTCTTCTGAGATTTCATGCCGTGTAGACTGGTAGTACCGTCATCGACGTGACGTGCCACATCCATCTTCAAAACCAGAGCAAGAGCTTCTTACTGGTTTCGCTTACTCTTCGATCCTGAAGGTTGAGGCAGTATGTCCCTCCGAAACGTCGACTACAAGGCTTCACATTCTCCATTTCAAAAACCAGTTTTTCAGTGTTGATGGAAGTCAGTAATCAAAAAACTAACTACATGGTGCATAGTTCTTTTTGAGACGCTAATAGTTGCTCATCTAGAGAGGACACTCGCAATATTCTATGGAAACCAAAGGTTCAGAGCCCTGCTCACAACAGCACGCCATCGGTCCGTGTGCAGAGACGGAGCAATCCATTTCACACCCTTCCATTCTGAGTATTTAAGATTAATTTCAATATTATCCTCCTATCGCACTATGCCACAAGCCGGAAGGCCGCGGGTTCGAGTCCCGATGATGTCATTGGATTTTTTAATTGACCTAATCCTTCCAGCCACACATGGCCCTGGGTTCGACTCAGCCTCTTAACAAAATGAGTACCAGGAATCTTCCTGGGGCGTAAAGGACAACCGGCGCGTAAGGCTGACAACCTTACCGCCATCTGTGAGCCGAGTGTCTAGATAATGTGGGACCCTAACGTCTCACAACCCTATGGGCCTCCATGGTCTGTTACAGGGACAGCTTTACCTTTATTTTTACCTCCCATCTATCCCCACGTTTCCCACTCGACCATCCCATTTCATCCTCACTGATTTGATCACCACAAAATGTTTGACGAGGAACGCATGTGATGATGTAGATTCTAAATGCTTCTGACGATGCTGTGTAACACTTCGTCCATCGTCCGGTGTTCTAAAAAGCAGAAAACACAACTTCAGTCCTATGCATTGGTTTTTCATGGACTTGAAAGTATTGTACAATATTCTAATAGAGTTTGGGATACCCATGAAACTAGTTAGGTTGATTAAAATGTGTTTAAACGAAACGTATAGTAAAGTCCATATAGGTAAATATTTGTCTCATAAATTTCCTATCCAGAATGGTCTAAAACAAGGAGATGCTTTATCGCCACTCCTTTTCAACTCTGGCTTAGGATATACCATTAGGAAGGTCCAGGGAAACCAGGTGGGACTGAAATTAAATGGGACACATCAGCTGTTGGTCTACGCCGACGTTGTGAATCCACTGGGTGATAATGTAGATATCATAAAGAAAAACACACAAACTTTAATTGACGCAAGTAAAGATGTTGGTCTAGAAGTAAACACAGAGAAAACTAGTTAGTTAGTTATTAGAGAGGGTGGGTTTCCCCATGCACTTAGACCTGTAGTGGTCCACTGTGGTTCCCTCTATGATTTCTACC